TGGGGACCAAAATGCTCTTTCCCCACTCTTTAGGCATCTTTTTAGTTTTTAAAATAATATTAAAGAGAATAGTAAGCCAAGAAACTCCCAAATCTCCTAAATATTTCCACACTTCAATAGATAGATTATACATTACAATAAATATTTTATAGCTTATCCCATCAAATTTCAATCTCAATTACATACATGAATTCTCTCCAAACTAGTTCTACAAGAATACATGTTCATTTAAATCAACAACAATAAAAATCCTTTTTTCCTCATATATAAATAACTTAATCCAATGCTTCCTAAAAATTGGTTTTATATTCTAATTCAAATCAAAATTGGAAGACTAAAAGCCATAACTATATCGCAGCACATCTAAATGTCTATTATATAAAACAAAATACATAAGGTTTATTTGATTCAATTAATTAAACAAACTTCAAATTTTATTGCATTTAAGCGAAAAGTTTATGAAAGCAACTTGGGCATAAAACTTTTGAAAAATCTAGATAACTTTAAACCTATTATTTCAAAACAGTATGACAAAAATTACATAAACGAAATTTCTCCATAGATTTTATCAAGAAAAAATGAAACCATGGCACCTAATTCTTGAGAACATTTACTTAAAATACCTCTATTCTATAAAACAGAAGAACCTTGGAACGTAATGAGTTAGAAGATCTACATGAAATGCCTCTATCTTGGTAATGAGAAAACTAGGGAAAAAAAAAGATAAATTGTGAATTCAAAAATTATCAGTAGTTTCCAATGAGTTCTATATGACTTTAGGCATTGAAATAAATGCAATATGATTTATGGAGTCTCAAAAATAACACTTTGAGAGTATTTGTCAAGAAGAGATGATGGAAAAAAGGCTGATACAATCTTGAAAATATAACAAAATAAATTTTGATTAGAGCCTCATAATTTCATAATTTCAAAAGTTAAGTCTAGCCCTTCAAGCAAAAATCCTAATTAACTTTTACTAAAAGAAAGAGAAGAAATAATAGCTTGGAAAAAATTTGACAAGATATCCAAATATAGAACTAACCTTAACATATAGTCCTTGTTAATTCTCACACCTCAATGAAATAAAAGAATTTGAGAAAATGTGTCTGGGCATAAACAGGTTTATTCCATAGATTTGCAGCAATGCCAACCTAGCACTGCATAAGGTAATATCTATGGAGTTAATACAACAGACATAGAACTCTAGCATATCCATACTTCAGGCAGCGCATCCACAAATCTCCATTAGTCAGAACAAAACACAAACATGACATTGAATAAGGCACATTTTTCTAAGACATGCTAGTCATGCTATCCAAACTATTTATATTATAAAATTAGGATCTGTTCATGAAGCCAATCGAACATTTGATTCATTCCTACATGTATGGTATGTTAGGTGAATGTCAGGGTTAACTCACAAATTTTCCAGCATAAGGCACATGGTGTGCTGTGAGTAATACCAAACAACCAAAAGTAAGCCAAGAATTTGAGAAGCATAACTATTTCTTTCGACATTGTAATCTGAGCTTTTCTACATTTTTTTAGGTTGGAAAAGAAAGAAGAAAGAGAAATCAAATGGAAATTACTAAACCTCAAAGCTTTCAGTTAAATTTAACTCCACCTATGTTTCTTATATTATCAATTTTCATCGAGTTTCCAAACTCAAAATTCAAAATTTTGCATGAGATCTACAACATCATTAGAAATGATCATTTTCGAAACCCTAAACGATACAGAATTGAAATTCAATATGGATTAAAAGCTGCAGCCAAGTTTATTCACTTACAATCCTTATTGTAACTTTCAATATATCAGGATATCCACCCTGCATTATGTTGGATGCATCACAGAAATAAAAATAAAAAATACAATATATAGAGAATGAAGGACTTATTAGATACAACAAATTAAGTTGTCCAGTAACAACTAAAAAAAATATCATAATTGTGAAATATGACATTTACCATCATGACAGATCATGCCCTAACCTTTTGGGCAAAATATGGCATATATAGTATCTATTGTTTGCGGGGAAGAATTGACACTTATTTTATGCTCTTTAAACCGTCCAAGATAAATATACCATATGTAAAAAAGTCCATATTTAAACTTGTGTTTGCATCTTACAATAGTATAAACGGATGGATGTATATATATATATATATATATATGTCCATATGCACTTAAATATGTGTATTTGTAAGTGCCCACTATTGCCAAAGCACGACCGCACATATATCTTTCATATACAACATCCTATTTTTCATATTGCCTTTTCAATGCTAGGTGTGCACCTTACATCTAGGGTATAATATTCCATAGCTATTTTCTTCATTATGACTACATGCTTCTCACAATGATAAGCAACTTGGAGGAAAGCCTTCTTTAAAAAGACATTCAAGACACACACCTCAAGGCACGCCTTGAACTGAAGTGCACAATAAAAACCTCAAGGCATAAGCCTCACTAGTGATAATGAGGGTTATGCCTTTTGTAATAAAGGTGTATGCCTCAAGGCTTTATGTCTCAAGTTATTTGAGGTGGCGCATCAATGAAGTAAAAAACATATATATTATATTACATTATATTATTAATATATGTTATATTGTATTATATAGTGCTTATAATAATATTTTGATACAATGTATCAAAAAAATAAAATGGTGATTTAAATATGATTATTTAATCATGTTATCAATTTGATTTTTTTTAATTATCATGAATTTAATGTCAATTGATATAAACGGTAAGAAGAAAATTATTGTGATTGAAGACAATTTGGAACATGACAATAAAACCGTATTATATAATCATAAAAATATTACATGTGATGATTCTTCTAAAGATGACGAAATTTTTGTGGATCTTGATCCTCATGGTGTATTTAAATTTTAATTAAATGATTCTTCTTGAATCTCAATTCAAACTTTCATTTTATATCAACATTTAACATTATCATCGTGATTTATGTCTTTATAATAGTAAACTAAATCAATATAATGATGGATTGTGTCATATTTATGAATTATTTTTAATTTTATGTGTTTTTTTTTAATTTTAAAATGTATACTTCTATCTGCCTCGAAGCTTATTCCTCAAATCGATAAGGGTCCGTTTAGGGCCGCTTATAAGTGTCGTCTCACAGTTTGGAAAACACGTTTCAGCAATTTATCCGAAAACGCGGTTGGGTTTTTACACTAAACAAAACTTATCCGAAAACGTGATTGAGTTTTTACACTAAAAACAGGCCGCGAGTCGAATCTCATAGGCAGCGTTTCAGGATAAACTGCTTATCTGCCCCAAACGTACCCTAAAACAGCACCTCAGTTTTAGATCTTGCCTTTCGAAACATCGGAAGAAAGCGTGCATCTAACACAGAATGTAAATACTAAAACTTACTCTGAACATACTAATCGCATGTTAAAACAATTAATAGGCTAAGAAAATAATCCAGTGCAACACAAATTGAAACTCTGACAAATAAGAGAGCATTGCATAAGAAAAATAAGGCATCAACAACAAAGCGTGGGGGGTGGTTGAAGCAAGAAAATTGTTCTTTTAAATTATTGCTCAAATTTGCTGATGCAAGTCAAAAGTAGCAAGAAATTCTGATTTCCCGATAGATAAGTGATAAAGCAGATAAAAACAGAGCAAAATTCAAGAAGAATAGAAATTACCTAAACAGATATGCCCATTGCTATAAATGTGAGGATGCAGCGGCGCAGGAGGAACAAAAATAACCTAATCGATTCACAAATTACAAAGAAACCATTCAAACCCCGTGAACAGAAGCCAGAAGAGCCAAAACCATAGCCATCTACAAATCACCTGCGGCGCCTCCATGGGGTAATGCTCCGGAAAATCAACCTGAAGCTGGTAGGTCTCGTTAGCATACAGTGTACCAGCCGCGCCAATGACATCAATGTTCCACCTTCCAGATCCCAACAAACAAACACCAATACTCCAATCAATAAAATCGATCGCAAAATAAGACAGAAAAAGAAAACCATAGGAAGAAGTTAGGGTTTTCCTATCTCCTCCGAATCTGCTCACCTCTGAAGATTATCGGTGACTCTGTGCTTGAAGCCTGCGGGTGGGTTGACCTGCCATTCAACCAGCTCCTTCTGCAGGCGGTTGCAAGCGATTTTGCTCAGTGCCTGTGATCATTGAAATGGAAAGCATAAAAGAGAAGAAGAAGATGCAGATGTGTAAGAAAAAGGCAGATGGATAGGAGCGGGAGAGCGCGGGAGAAGAGGAGAGACTCAGGACCTTGCGAGGGGAAGCCGAGGAGCTAGTCATGCTTCCGAAGCAGAGCAGGAGGAAGAGGGGAGTTAAGGGACAAGGGGCTTCTACGAGGAAGGATTCAGAGGACGGTGTTCTGTGACGGTATAATTTAAAATATATTTATTCCGGCGGTGCACAATTCGCTCCCACAAACGTGCCAGTTGGTATAGCCGGGAGCATCAATCATGCCTTGATTTTGTTGGATAGTAGACGGATAATATAAATAGAAATATGTACCTATATATTACAAAATTTTCATATACTAATATAATTATATATATTTAATACATCATCAATAAATTTATCATTTGACATAAATTTTGAGCTAATATTTTAAGTAAAGAATATTCAACCTTTGATTAAAAAACATCTAGAACTTCAATTACAATAAATTTACAATCAAACTGATCGACTCAACGGATGGACCTAAGGATACCAGAAATAGCTCGAGTCTATATCAAACCATTAAACCAATTCTAGAAGATTTCAGTGTATAATTGGAAAGTAACAAATTTCAAATCTAACAAGCTTATAGTCAAATCATGTGTCTCGGCAAGATGGATTCAACGAACTCGAGATCGGCCAATTCTAACATAATCAAGCTACTCAAATGTTCATCAAATGTTATCCAATCGGGGGAATATCTCCAAACCATATAATGAACCGGTCTAAATTTATTTCTTATTTCAGGGATGTATCTCATGAACTATATAAATAATCCCCCACCCCACCCCCAACTTGAGAGGGGTGAGAGACCACAAGCTATAAGAAGGTTGAAGCTTAGAGGAGTAGCTCAAGTCCAACATCACTTATACACTGTAAATCTGATGAATATTTCTCACTCCTATAGCCACCAACAACTATCAACAACCATTTGTCATCTATCATCGACCACTGTCGATCACCCCTCCATTAGTTGCAGCAAAGCTTCGGGCAAAGCCAAAACTTACATTATGGAGCGATGAAGCACTGTGCTGAATAACAATCGACGTTGTGAATTCACGAAACATCCTACAGAGCATTGTATCATCTCGAACATCGTGTCAACCTCGAAGACGAAGTACTGAAACTCCAACAACTATTCCCCACTACCATTGCTCTATAACGTGGAGCAAAGAGCTCTTCTGTGCATGACCATTGTAACTCAATAAAGTGTATAACAATTTTTCCTTCTGTCGGATAAGAGCATGTACGTTTAATCACCAACTTATAGTAGATCATTTTGACTTGGGTAGGCCATATGGTTTTTGCCCTTTCCAGGTTTCACATGTAAAAATTTTTTGTGTTTCTATTTATCACTTTTAATATCTTTGTGTGTGATGGATTCCCGTGTATCCTTAAGACAATAATTCATTATTTTACCGCAGTGAATTATCTAGCACACTTTAGTTTGACATCATCTATGGAAAGCAAAGTCTATTTAACACAATCTTCAAGTTAGAGACATTGAGACTTTACTTCTTTTCCTGATGACATACATCATCCAACTCCAAATGGTGAAGAAATCTCAATTTAGCCCCTTGAAAATCATTTTTAAAGCATTCTTCAATATGGGAGGCAACTTCTGATGCAATCTTGAAAGACTATTCACGACAACATCCCGAACATGACTGTAGTGAGTTAGCCTTTCAACATCCTATTTAAACACAAATTCAATGATAATTTCTTCCATACTAGAGGGGAAACATTCATTGTAGTCTGGAAAGGTTGTTCACATTAATGTTCTAAACACAACTATGGTGAGGTAGTCATTCCATATTTTATTCAGACATCAAGGTTTTTTGAACTACTTCCAGACTGGAGCGAAACTTTATAAATAACACTTCCTCAGCACTCCCTAAAATATTAGAGTTCTTCTTCAGCTGGATTAGAAAGTTGGTCTCTTTAAGCTTCTATATATGGGTTGCTCTATAAACTCGTGTGGAAAATATTTTCATCTTTTCCTCATAAATTTTGATATTTTCATAAGCCTCCTCTCTAATTTCCTCTAACTTGTTCAACTGTAATGATCATTTTTCTGTTGAATCCTTGAAATTATATTTGAATTAATTTATCGCCCAAAATGTGTCATGCTCTAACTCTACAGATAAACAACAAGCTTTCCCAAAAATCAGTATGTATAGAGACATTCCTATGGGCATTTTTTAAGCAGCTATATAGGCCCACAATGAATCATCCAATCTCACTGCCCAATCTTTCCTATTGGGATTAACTGTCTTTTCTAAAATTTTATTCACCGCTTTATTAGAAACCTTAGCTAATCCATTAGTGTGGGGACGATATGGAGTAAAAATCTTATGATTAATCCCATATTTGGCTACTAATATGTCTATCTTTTTGTTTATAAAGTGACTCACCACATCGTTAATAATCATCCTGGGTGTCCCAAATCTACTAAAAATATTTTTATTCCAAAGATTTTGAATGTTTTGAGCATCACAATTAGGGAGAACTAATACTTTAATCCACTTTCAGATATAATCCACTACTGTCATGATATATAGGTTTCCTAGTGATGACACAAATTGTCTTATAAAGTCTAATCCTCAAACATAAAAAATCTCCACTTATAAAGCATAATTTAAGGGTATTTTATCTCTTAAAAAAAATATTGTCTACTATTTGACACCTATTATAGTTTTTCATGCATTCATTAACAACCTTGAACAGTGTAAGACAATAGAATCCAAATTGTAAATTCTTATATAAAAAAAATGAGAAGAAGAAAAATCCAACTTTTTGGTATTTTCGAATGACGAAGCTTGTCTCGCCAGAAAATAGAGGCAATGACTATGTCATCAACAAACTTTTATTGTTTGGCACAATTTAGAGGAGTGGCGCTGATCTCAAGGAAATTTTTTAAGCTGGGAATGTTGAAACTTCAACTAAAAATCGTTTAAAACATCAATTTCAGTAAACTTATATTCAAATTGTCTTGCTCGATGAGACAGACAATGAATGCAAAGTTGTTCCAATTATAACTAAACTTACTCGCTCGACGAGACAAACACAATGACAAATCAAGTTCATATCAAGTCGTTAAGCCTTTTTTGAAAATTTTTAATGCCCAATTAAGAGATCAAATTTATTAAAAATTTGACAAGCTAATAGTTAATACAAGCATCTCGACAAGACTAATCTGAGGAGCTTGAGATCACTCAAGCCCAAGATTGGCCATTTTAGATATCATTAAAGCAGTCAAATGAGAATAAAATATTGTTCAATTGAGTGAATTTTTTTGAGATCTCATGGAGTGGACTAGATTTTGTCCATATTTGTAGGGAGACCTCTTTAAGAAGTTATAAATAGAGCCCTAACCCCTTCAAGAAAAGGGGAAGGGGAGTTAGACTTTGAACTGGAGGAAGCCCTAAACTTAGGAAAGAAAGTGCTTAGGTTTGATGTTCCACACCAAAGGTCCAACGAATGTCACCCACTTCTATAGCCACCGGCCACCATTGACCACTCCTCGTTGGCTACTAACCCGACCCGCAATTACTTGTATTTTTAATCTTCTTAATTTTGCCAGAAAATATGTCCCAAATTATATCTAGCAGCTAGTTTGAACAAATGTAATGATTTATGAATTATATAAAAAATTTTCACACTATGAGTACTACACAAGTATACGTATCGTTTCAAGTAATGTGAGATTTTTCTTAAAGATCGCAGTATCGATCCCACAAGGAAAGCGATAACTCTTAAAATCAACTTATATCAACTCACGCAATTTCTATTTAAATTACAAATTAAATAGATAAGAGATCTAAAATGATATGCTTACCAACTACTAAAGAGTTAATAAAGAAAGTAACAACTAAATGTAACAGCTTAACAAAATATAACTGCGAGTTTGAATATTATGGAAAACTTTTCCCATTGCAAAGAGATTTTAATCTATGTAGGATTCAAATGATTTAAGACAAAATTGAGGTATTGTAACAAATAGAAGCATACTTTATTATTTAACCCCTCCTGGTGCTAGCAAAGAACATTGACTAACTTAAGACTAATTCCTTAACATCTTGATTCCGCATCAAAATATCTAGCCTCTCACCTCTAGATACCCCTAAGCCTATGCCACTATGCTGGCCAAATCTCAGCGTCAGGGTACTAAACCTTAAGCCAAATTGATAATAATCTAGTGTGTCACTCTAGAGCTAACCAATTATACACCCATCAAAACTTATCTCTCTATTTATTTACACTAGGTGATCGCAATGGCTCTGTTTAGAATGAAGTGTGATATCCACTAGTTGGGTGAAATCATATCTCTCCGAGGTCATTATATTTCTCAATAAATTTTAACCTCACAAGTGGATAGTTTGTGCAGTAAATGAAGATTCGGTGAAAATATCATCACATTTTTTAAGAGGAAAAAGAAATCATTAAATCATTCTCATCCCATGAGATTCCAATATGCAAGGAGAAAGAAAGGGAACTACTTAGAATTCATGGAGATTAAATAAAAACAAAACATTTGCATTGAAATCTAAGTCTTGCAACAAAAATTTAAACACAAATACAAAGTACCTAATGTCTTCTCCTCAAGTAAACTTCTAGCAAGTAAACTTCTAGAGTTTCCTTTAAGCAATCTCTAAACTTCTTCACACTAAAACACACTCACACTTACACTTGAATACAAAATATGAAAAACATAATTCCCTATTGCCGCATAATTGAAGTTTTGAGGCTCTAAAGGGTCTCTAAATTCGGCTAAATCCTTCTCATTTTATAGAAAAAAAGAATATAACAAAGGGTTGCTTCAAACACCCCTCTAAAATTTGGCCAAATTCAATGAATCTTCTAGAAAAGTAGTTACTGGCGTTATAGTGCCCATCTCGCTCGTCTATGACGCTATGGCGCTATGGCGCTAAGGGGTGGCGTGATTGCGCCACACAAAAAATCTTCAATTTATCTCCATTTTCCCCTCATTTTCTCTAAATGTCTATTCCATATACTTGAAACTAAAAATATGCAAAATATTTTTCCTTAAAGTGCAATATTATCAAAAATGTACATAAAAGACTTATAAAACATGGACTACAAATAGGTTATTTTTAGGTGGATCAGCTACCATTAACCACTATCAACCACCCCTTGCTCATCACAGTGAAGCCCCT